AATTGCATTATACATTAGTTAAATATATGAGATTTGTAAAATCTACATGTGTACATGTACATTAGTAATGAGTCATCTTTATTTTCTCATTCTTTTACCAACTTGTCATTGCAATTACAATTTTTACAATTTGCATGCAAATCAGGTGTTTATCATACATTTGTATGTATACATTTTCATGTACCTTACTGCATGAGCATGTATTTCTCCATAGGAGAGTGATCTACGTTACTTGATAGAGAACATATGGGCTGGTCAGAGTGCAGTGAGTGGTGAGAAGGATCTATTTGAGTTGATACTAGTTCGTTGGAATATCACTGAACACTGGAGCCCATGGAACTGTATATTATTGACAACTGATGAAGCTAGGGCTCATGTTAAACTGGATGACCCAGAAAAGGTAAGATAATATTACTATTATAATGTTCTTGTTATCCGCTTTCATGTTACTGCTTTATCAGTTTTGCTTTTTCACTTGTCAATATATGTTATTTTAAAAGCACATTAATGTACTTTACTTATAATTGCATTTTACATGTAATATTCCTCCACAGGCTTACAGTTCACAGTTTACAGATAAAATAAGACAGAGGCACATATTAGCAAGGAATTATTTCACACAGATACCAGGAATGATGGAGGAAATGTCAACTAAAGTCAAAGAACTACCTCTACCTCGTCCTAAAGAAAGAATCATTGTAGTTAGGCAACATCCACAGGAACAACACCAGCAATTAACTGTAGACTCTAACTAAAAATAATGCATGCATATACATCTACATGTATCTATACAACTATAAACAATAATGTTGTTTTTTCTTTAATGTGAGATGTGGGATGTGTGATCAATGAATTAATGTACATGTCATGTTGTAGTATAAGGTATAGGTACAATTTTGCTGTACTACAATATTATACTTGTAGCTATCGAAATTAAATTATTTGTAAAGTACACTGCCTTTATAAATGGTGTGTGTAACTTAATAGTGATCATTAGCTGTGGGAGCAGGAGCAACTTAGCAACTGTAGAATGTACCCAGTGCTGCTTACTACTGTCTTCTTGTTGAGTGTCAGTAAAGTTATTAGTGAATGTCCACCTACCTCAGGTAAGACACTGGATGTGTATAATAACAACTGTATAGGTTTTATAGGTATCTACCTGAGGCATAATGGAAACTGTTATACTAATGGATCATATTTTCCAGACAGCAGTATCAGACCAACTCCTATAGAGTGTGGATTACCTGGTGAGACTCTGAATGGTGGACAATGGATTGGTCCTAAAGGAGTAGTTCCTTGTAGTGGTGGTGGTAACAATCAAAATGTTCGATGTACTGGGTCAGGTGCTCATCTCAGTGTTTTCATAAATCCACCAAGCTTTCTTGGGGCACCTGGTGATGGCCAGTATATGTGTTGTCTACCCACTAATTGTTCAACTCCTGGGACTAACATCATCACTGCTACTATATTCAGTAAGAGGAGACTATAATCACTTACTGATGTAATAATTTTTATTTGTAGGATTTGCAGAGATAGAATCATTTACTGTTACTGATCTTCCTTCTGATATGACAGTATATCCTCAGGAATACAAACTGAATTGTACTAAAATTGGATTCAATCGCTATGATATTAGTATGAGCATTGGTAGTACTGCACTGGCTGATCACACTAATTGTTTTGATCCTGATAATAATTGTGGTGGTACTGTGTTAAATGGTGCTGTTGAAAACACAGTAAGTCATGCTGTTACTGTCACATGGGATGGAATGACTGTCAGTAGTGGATCAATCAGTCAATCAACCACTGGAGATCAAATGTATCAGTGCAGGGTAGCAGATCATCCTGATGGTAATGAAATTAGAATACGTAATGTCACTATAAAAGGTAAAGTTGTATCAACTAGTGTATTACCTCTCTGCTATACAGCACCATCAATTGCTCCTTTTCTTACTGAGGTCAGCGAGACAGCTACCACTATCACTGTCAGTTGGACTGCACTTGATTCATCTGATGCTGATGGATATGTAGTCTATGTCACTACTGACACAGACACTGTGGAGACAGTACAGGTGGAGGGAAGTAGTAATAATACAATCACACTGAATGGACTGAGAGGAGGAACAACTTATAGCATCACAGTCAGAGCCTATCAACAATTACTGGGACCTGCTAATGTCTCATTCACTCATTGTCAGCAAAAAGGTTTTTGACTTTACTATTATTGCAATTAAAATTTAATATCAAATAGGAATCTATTTAGCATATGATAGAAACTGTTATTCTAATGGATCATATTTTTGGGATAGTAGTGTCAATTCATTCACTAAGCCTATATCATGTGTGTTACCTGGTACTAGTCTAACTACTGGTCAGTGGGTTAGAGTTGCTGATCCTGATGATCCTGTTGACTGTAACAGTAATAATGCCAGTGATCCTTTTCGTTGTAGTTCTGTCACTTCACCTATTATATTAAATCTTTATCTTGCTGAAGGACTAGCAGCAGCTCAAGAAGGCTGGTACAAGTGTTGTCTACCCACTGATTGTTCAGAACCTAACACTAACATCATCTTTGCTAATATATTCAGTAAAAGGAGACTATAATCACTTACTGATGTAATAATTTTCATTTGTAGGATTTGCAGAGATAGAATCATTTACTGTTGCTGATCTTCCTTCTGATATGACAGTATATCCTCAAGAATACAAACTGAATTGTACTAAAATTGGATTCTATTTGTATGGTATTAGTATGAGCATTGGTAGTACTGCACTGGCTAGTTACACTAATTGTGATGATCGAAAAAGCAATTGTAATGGTACTGTGTTAGTTAGTAGTACCAACACAGTAAGATATACTGTTACTATCACATGGGATGGAATGACTGTCAGTAGTGGATCAATCAGTCAATCAACCACTGGAGATCAAATGTATCAGTGTGTTGTGCAAGTTACTGATCAACCAACTAAAACACGTAATGCAACTATAAAAGGTAGCAAATTTTATACATGGCAGTTAATTTTCAATGTACGTATCAAATATTTTTCAGTTCCAGCAACTGCTCCCACTTCTCTTACTGAGGTCAACAAGACAACTACCACTATCACTGTCAGTTGGACTACACTTAATTCATCTGATGCTGATGGATATGTAGTCAATGTCACTAGTGATACAGACACTGTGCAGA